ATAGAATAGAATAAATAAAAATAATAGAACAGAATATAGAAAATGAACAGAATAGAACAGAACAAAATAGAATAAATGAAAATAATAGCACAGAATATAGAAAATGAATAAAATAGAATATAAAAAATGAATAGAATAGGACTAGAATAGAATAGAATAAATGAAAATAATAGAACAGAATATAGAAAATGAATAAAATAGAATAGAATAAATAAAAATAATAGAACAGAATATAGAAAATGAATAGAATAGAACCGAACAGAATAGAATAGGGTGAAAGAATAGAATAGAATAGAATATAGAAAATGAATAGAGTAGAATAGAAATAGAATAGAATAGAAGTAACAGAGTTGGAAGGGAATTTAGAGGTCTTCTAGTCCAACCCACTGCCTAGGCAGGAAACCCTACACCACTTCAGACAAATGCTTGCCCAATCTCTTCTTAAAGACTTCCAGTGTTGGAGCATTCACAACTTCTGGAGGCAAGTAGTTCCACTGATGATTTGTTTTAACTGTCAGGAAATTTCTCCTTAATTCGAGGTTGCTTCTCTCCTTGATCAGTTTCCATCCGTTGCTTCTTGTCCTGCCTTCAGGGACTTTGGAGAAGAGGCTGATCCCCTCTTCTCTGTGGCAACCCCTGAGATATCGGAACACAGCTATCATATCATCTCTAGTCCTTTCCGCTAGACTAGACATGCCCAGTTCCTGCAACCGTTCTTCGTATGGTTTAGCCAGACATGCCTTGTTTCGCAGGTGGAACACAAACCTACCAGGACTTGACTACCACGAGGTAATCTTCTTAGGTCTCACCCTCAAAAACTACAGTATTCAGAAGATGAAAGCCGTGAGAAACATAGCGACGACGCTGCTCACCTGTGCAAGCTTCTGGAATCATTTAAGATTGCCTTCAAATATCTACACATTGCCAGCGGGTTTACTAGATGCAAACTTTAAAATGGGATTACAGGTAGGCCTCAACTTACGACGACAATAGAGCCGACATTTTCTGTTGTGAAGTGAGACATTTGTTAAGTGAATTTTGCCACATTTTACGGCTCCCCCCCCACAGTTGTTCAGTGAATCACTGCCGTTGATAAGTGAGCAACCCGGTTGTTAAGTGAATCTGGCTTCCTCCATTGAACTTGACCCCTTGGAAGGGCGCAAAAGGGGATCTTGTGACCTTGGGACACAGCAACGGTCATAAGTATGATCACCGGGATGCTGGAAAGGTCACAACTGTGGAAAACGCTCCTAAGTCACTTTTTTCACGGCCGTTGTAACTTCAAACGGTCACTAAATGAACCTGTCATAAGTCAAGGTCTGCCTGTATAAGTGGTGTAAAACATAGTGACTATGTTGCTGCCCTGTGAAAGCTTCAGGAATCATTTAATTGCCTTCAAATATCTACACATTACCGACTGCTTACTATCCTGTTTCCCTGAAAATACCCTGAAAGTAAGCCCTAGCTTGATTTTTTACATGTGTGCCCAATATAAGCCCTACCCCCCAAATAAGCCCTAATTAAGATCCCGCCCATTCCATGGTGCACGGGTAAAAATTAAGCTAGGGTGGGGATGGGAGGGTGGAGCTGCCCTACTACTTACCTTTGGACAGGTGTAGCCAGGCCTCGCACACCCTGACACCTGCCTTGCCAGCCCATTTCTTCTGCAGCCAGCAAGGCTTTTCTGAAGGCCTCTGGAACTGATAACAAAGCTCTGGATCGATCCAGAGCTCCGTTATTGGCTGCAGAGGCCTTCAGGAAAGCCTTGCCGGCCGCAGAAGATGAAGTTCAGTTGCGGTCCTAAGTTGAGAACGACCTGTTGTAAACAAAGGGAAGTTTTTCCGAAACTCTTGCAGACTAGAATATCCACAAAAGAAGAGGCGGTCAACCTATTATCCAAAGCACCTGAAGGAAGACAGGAGAAGAAGCAACGGATGGAAACTCATCAACGAGAGAAGCAACCTGGAAGTAAGGAGGAAATTCCCGACAGCGAGAACAATTACCCAGTGGGACTGCTTGCCACCAGAAGTTGTGGCTGCTCCAACACTGGAGGTTTTCAAGAAGAGACTGGACAACCATTTGTCTGAAATGGTTTAGGGCCGTAATGGCGAACCTGTGACACGCGTGCCACAGGTGGCATGCAGAGCCATTTGTGCAGGCACACGAGCCCCAGGCAAACTTACCTCACTGAGCATGCGCGTGCCTCCCTGCTGATTTTCAGGCCTTTTTTGGGGCCTCCCAGAGGCTCGAGGGAAGCCTCTGCAGCCTCTGGAGGCCGAAAAACAGGCCCGTTTTCCGGAAATACAGGAAGTGACAAAATGGGTCCATTTTGGCGCATGCCATTTTGGCACAGGAGCCCCAAAAGGTTAGTCACCACTGGTTTAAGGTCTGCTTGAGCAAGGGGTTGGACTAGAAGACCTCCAAGGTCCCTTCCAACTTCTGTTATTTTATTCACACAAACATCACACAAGGTTCCTGAATATGTCTTGAAATTGTCCCAATGTAGTCTACCTTCAACTTTTAAAAAATTTGGCTTGAATTTAACATCTGCTTTCTTGTTACTGTCTATGTGGGACGCCCTAATGCCAACCCCTGAATTCATCCAGCTTAGATGAGACAAGAAATTACAGATTTATTTCATGTGTTGGGGTGTCTCCTTTGGTAGAAGGTTTTCCCTGATGGGAAGTCTGATCTCCAATTCTCTGATACTTGCCTCGTATTCCTTGTCCACTGCTCTGGGGTTGAGAAGGAAATCCGGATACCCGATCATCACCATCATGTGCTTCAACTGCAAGAGAAGCTGGTTTCAAACACCCGGCTGACATCTGGAGAATCGGCACGAGAGAGTTGGCAACATGGTGCCCACTGGCGCAACTGAGGTCTCAGCTGGGTGTGGATGACGGTACTCACCATACTCTCCTGAGTCAACTGGGAACTTTTTTTTTAACAACGAACCTGAGTAAGTTTTTTGGGGCGGAAAGAGTAGGATGGGATGGGATGGGATGGGAATAGGAATAGGAATAGAATAGGAATAAAACCAGAACAGAATAAAACCAGAACAGAATCAGAATAGAACAGAATCAGAATAGAATAGAATAAGAATAGAACGGAACAGAATAGGAACAGAATAAAAACAGAACAGGGTAGAATAAGAATAGAATAGAATAAGATTAAACCAACAAAACAGAATAGAATAAGAATAAAACAGAACAGAACAAGAACAGAACAGAACAAGAACAGAACAGAACAAGAATAGAACAGAGTAGCATAAGAGTACAACAGAACAGTGGAACAGAATAAGATTAAAACAGCACAACAGAATAGAATAAGAATAAAACAAAATAGAATACTGTAGAGCAGAACAAAACAATATAATAACAGAACAGAACAGAACAGAATAAGAATAAAACAGAATAGAATATAGTAGAACAGAACAGAACAATAGAAGAACAGAACACAGCAGAATAGAATAGAATAGAATAGAATAGAATAGAATAGAATAGAATAGAATAGGAGGTTTCCAGTGATTTTTTTCAAAAAGGGGCCCATTTGCTGCAGAACATCTTAAGGCAGTCTTTCTCATCCCTGGCAACCTTAAGAAATACGGACTTCCACTCCCAGAATTCCCCAGCCGGCAAACTTGCATTGCCCAGGAGTGGGCTGGATGCAACCCGAGTGAAGATTGACCCCCACAAAACACAACCCTTTGCCGTGGCGTGCTCTCTGTCCCAGTCAGGAACGTGCAGCTCCTTGGGCTGAACGGTTCCATCCCCACGAATCCCCACCCTCCAGGGCTCCCTACCTTCGCTCGGGCCGCTCGTTGGGTTTCCTCATCCATCCACTCCAGTTCTTCGAGTCGCCGGTCGAGGATGTGCTTGATATCTTCCACTAGCTGTTGTACCTGTTCCCAAGAGGAGAATCCCGTCCAATAAGGAAAAGGAGAAAAAAAAAACATACCCACTCGGCATCACAGCCCATTTCTCCGGGTTCTGGATGCTGCGGTAAGGGGGTAGCCTCTGTCCGACCTGCCTCAGCCTGAACCTCTACAAAAAAACCATCCTTAAACTCCATTGGTTGAAAAAGATACTAAAGGTCAAGTGAATTACAGGGATGAAAAGCCAGAACTGAGCAGCGCACGCACCAAAATCCCCAAGTCCTTCCTTTCCTTTGGTGCAGTAGTGAGATTCTACCTTCGTCGCTACCAGTTCGGTGGGTGATCGCATGTGTGCGTGCACCCCTAATGCGCACGCTCCCAACAAGCCAATCAGCTGAGAGGATGAAGAAACTAAAAGCTGGGAGCGACCTTCTCACCTCCCCATGTGTTGTTGTTCGCTGGCAGCTTGTGCAGACGGCAGCGGAATCGGACAGTGGGGAAGAACGGGGATCCGTCCGGGAGTCTGGAGAGGACTCGGATGAGGGTCCTGCATCCGATGCAGAGATGGGACCAGGACCATTTGGGAGTGGGGTGCGGACTCTGGAGCCTCCGGAGTCTGGCAGCAGCGAGGCAGAGGAACAAGGGGAGCCTGTTCCCAGTGCGCGTATGCGCAGAGCTGCTAGAAGGCAAGAGCAGCTGAAACAGAAGGGGGTGACTCGGGAGTAAGGCTGGGAGGTGATTGCCCCTCCCATAAGGGATAAAGGACAGGCCAAGATGATGAAACCTTTGCAGGAAGCAGTCATTCGTTCGATTCAGATTCAGCCTTGAAGCTCTTTGTACTTCGGTTGGTTTTTGTTCTAGTTCATTTGACCTTTCTGTTATTGGCAGCACTTCCCAGGAACGAAAGGTGGGTGCTTATCTCGAGGGACTGTTTGAGATTCATTACCGGCTGGGAATGAAAATAATTCCCAGCGTTGCCAGAAAACGAGACTTTTATTACTAAAGGTAAAAAAAAAATAAGATCTTGGATTGGGGGTTTCAGGGATGGTGCATCTACAGGTGATCAAGCCCAGCTTCTTGTGACCTTCCCTCTACCGTAGGCTCTTACCTTGGCCTTGCTGGTGGAGGAGAAGTATTCTTCCACAAACAGGGCCCCCAAGGCCATTCCAAAGTGCTTGTTGGCTTGACTCAAGCAAGTCTTGGCCAGCTCCATCGGCCTCTCGGCCCCCTCCATCTCCTTGGCAAACTCGTGGATGGCGTCCCGGAACGGGGTGGAAAGATGTTCACTCAGCACCACCGCAATGCGCCAGAGCATATAGTTGTGAAGGATCCTGGAGTGGAAGGATCACCATCGGAATGGGTTTAGTGCAGTTGTGTGTGTGATGACCTGGGTCATGGCAGAGATAACACAGGCAGCTAGCAATTCAAACTGCCCCTTTATTGACCCAAATTTCCCCAACGTTTCTGGCAAGTCCCAGAGCAAAGTGATCACAGACACACACACAGAGACACACACACTGGAAGAGCAGTGCAGCAGTTGAAATCGAAAGTACATTCCAACTCTTTATCTTTCAAAGATTGTAACTAAAATACCAGAGCTTTTGCCCACTGATATATTTCATTGGAGAATGTGAATGATGACACCCAGCCTGTGAAGGTGCTCAATTGGAGAATCTGATTTATGACACACCCAGGGAGGGAGGGGGGGAAACAGGGACACAGGTGGCTGTAAATGACGTATGCCAGAGTTGGCTTCATACAGGGCAGTGCCGGTATGTCACCTCTAATGAATCCTTTGAAGTTTCTTAAAGTTTGGCTCGAGAATCGTGACTTAGTTAGGGCGATTGCTGGAATCCTGACAGCCACACACTGTTGTGGTTTGCTGGCAGCCGGTGCAGACAGCAGTGGAATTGGACAGCGGGGAAGAAAGGGGACCAGTCTGGGAATCTGGACAGGACTCAGATGAGGGTCCTGTGTGATGGGGCCAGGACCATCTGGAAGTGGGGTGCTGTCTCTGGAGCCTCCGGAGTCTGGCAGCAGCGAGGCAGAGGAACAAGGGGAGCCTGTTCCCAGTGAGCGTATGCACAGAGCCGCTAGAAGGTGAGAGCAGCGGAAACAGGTGACTCGGAAGTAAGGCTGGGAGGTGATTGCCCCTCCCATAAGGGATAAATGACCTCAATGACAAAATCTTTGCAGGAAGCAAAGTCGTTCATTCGATTCAGATTCAGTCTTGAAGCTCTGTGTACTCCGGTTGTTTTTTTCTGGTACTTCGGTTGGTTTCTATTATAATTAATTGGATACTTCTGTTTTTGGCAACATTCCACAGCACTGAAAGGCGTGTGCTTATCTTGGGCAACTGTTTAATATTAGTTCTGGCTGGGAATGAACGTGATTCCCAATAAAATAGGTTTTGCTTTTAAAACAAGTTTGATATTAATTCCGTTTGACGAAGCCTGGGTCAGAACACACACAGAGTGGTGGGATTCAATTGGTGTAACAACCGGTTCGGTGAGCGCACACCTTTGGGGTACTAGGCAACCGTCTCACTTTTACGACCGTTTGCAGTGTCCCATAGTCAAGGAAGCACAGTTTGAAACTCCCCCCCCAAATCTTCCCCACCCCCATTTTCCAGTACTTATTTCCAGTTTCTGGCAAAACAAAAAACAAAACAAAACCTTGTGGATTTACTTAACGAGCATGATGTCATAAAAAAGTGGTTGTAATTTTGAATCTGTTGATGCGATTCCTCGACTTACAACCATAATGATTGTAATTCCGGCCTCAATTCCAGTTGTAAGTCGAGGAACCACATATAGTTCTCAGGTCAGCTTGGCTGGCTATACTTTTCAAGTGAGAAATAAACGTAACACTAGGGAATTAAATAGTAGGTAAAATTCACACCTGTGCTGTTTAGTTCACATCCACTAAACTGCAAAATCCCCCCCTGTGAGACTGGCTTTATCCCAGGAATAATGCGATAAATAGCAGAGAATCACAAATTTGCTGGATTTGTGGGAAGGAATGTCCATTAAAGGCAAGTAGCTGTGAAATCTCTATTCCTGCGATTGGCATCAATTTAAGGGCGTAATTACGTAATAGATGCCAATGGCACCATTTGCAATAAAACCTTGATTTAAGGGATAAGTCTTCAATTTAATGAAGATATCCTTGAACTCAGCTGTGCCCAACCTTGGCGAATTGAAGGCCTAATAGACTTGATCTCCCAGAATCCCCCAGGCGGCTCTGCCTGATGGACTTCATCTCCCAGAATCCTCCAGGCAGCTATGCCTAATGACTTCAGTTCCCAGATTCCCCTAAGCAGCTCAGCTGAGAGTTGAAGACTGGGGGACTTCATCTCCCAGAATCCCCCAGGCAGCTCTACCTGATGGACTTCATCTCCCAGAATCCTCCAGGGAGCTCTGCCTGATGGACTTCATATCCCAAAATACCCCAGCCAGCTTTGCCGGGAGTTGAAGTCCACAAGTCTTCAAGTTGTCAAGGTTCAGCACCCCTGATGTAGGGCAGACTTTCTTAAGCTGGGCAGCATTCAGACCTGTGGACTTCAACTCCCAGAATTCCCCAGCCAGCATGGTTCTGCAGCTCATGGCTGCTTTTATTGGAGATGAATCAGTCATTCTGTGTCATGCCCTTGTTGGAGTCCAATTCTGAGGGGGAGACTGAGCAGCTGACAGGGAGTGCAAGTGTGGCTCCGGTGGCTGTGGAAGAAACAGGGGAAAGAACACAATCCGGCTGGGCATTCAGAGGAAAACCCAGGGCCATCTCCTATTCATTCTAGGGCATGCAGGGAGGAATGGAGAAGGGAGCAACGTGGCTTATGGGAGAGGAAAGGGCCCTGATCCCCTTCATGGGCTGCAGCTGGAAAGACTGTTTAAAAGGGCAAACTGTGCATGGCAAAGTTGCTGGAAGCAAAGCGTGCATTATCTTTGTCGAGGCTTATCTGGGTTTTGGCGTCCTCCCAAAATCCAGATAAGTTGCTGCGTTACCTTTTGGAAGTCTCCAATTTATCATCCTGGCCTGTCGTGTTAATTACTTCAGCGTGGTTTGTGTTGTTGTTGTTTTTATTTCTAATTATCTTTACTTTGGGTTTGGACTGCATTTCTTTCCTTCGTAGACTGGAAGAGTTTGATCTCCAGCCAAGGATAACTGAACACGGGGGCCCAAGTTGGAGGCATTAAAGGGAATTTATCTATTTTGGTGACTTTGTTATTTTTCCGCCATGCCCCAGGTCATCATATTCTGCTTCGGGGGGTGGGGAGATATTTCAAGCCCTCTCCTTATTTCGGCAACCCTTTCCCAACCCCTCATCCCCAGCCGTACCTGATCGGCGTCGTTTGGATGATCTCCGAGACCTGCTGCATGTAATCGGTGGCTAAGAGCACCACCTCTTCATCTTCCGAAAAACGCTCGTGAAATATTCTGTCCAGAAGACGCTTCCATTTTAACTGCAGGAAAGGAATCAAGCAGAGCACGGCCACTTCTGAAACACTGTTTACGTTAATTAATTATCCGTTAATAATAAAGAGACCAGCTATTCTTGAAGTTGCCGCTGGCTGTGTAATGGAGGGAAGGGTGAAAAAAATCAAGATGGCGGCGCAATGGAAATCCTGTTGGTCAAAACGGGACAGGAATTTTGGTCACATGCCAGTGGCTTCCATCTTGCCTTTAAACAAAAAACAAAAAAAACCAAACTTTAAGTCACCCAGCCAGCTTTCATGCCTCAGGTGAGGTGATCAAAATCCAGACCAGGGCTTCAAAATTTTCAGCAACCGGTTCTCTGCCTGGTTGCTGGGTGGGCGTGGCCATGATGGGTGTGGCCTAGTCGGCCTCCTGCACCACGGTGTGTGTGGGGGGTGTTTTCGCCCTCCCCGGGCTCCACAGGCTTTCTTCGAGCCTCCGGGAGGGTGAAAAACAGCCTCCCCGGGGTCCGGAGGCCTTCTGGAAGCCAGAAATGGGCCTATTTCCAGCCTTCCGGAGCTCCCAGGAGGCCCATTTTTGCCCTCTCTGAGCCTCCACACAGACCCTGCACTTATCTGGCATCCCAAATGGGCCACGTGGGGACTCCTGAGTGGGGCGTGGCAGAGTGGGTGGGGCCAGCCAGCGGGAGGATTTATCGGTTCGCTGAACCGGCCATTAAAAATGATAAAATGAGATGCCAGTTCGCCCAAACGGAGGCGAACCAGTAGCAGCCTACCACTGATTCAGACCCTTGGCAACTGACTCATATGTATGACAGTTGCAGCGTCTCAGGAACGCTTACATGATCCCATTTTGAGACTTTCTGTTCGGGGTATGGCAGCGTAAATTCAGCGCCAGAAAAATAAACACAGGTGGCTGAGGCTTCATTTAACTTCTTTATAAACACATCAAGTAAATTTTACAATACCAGTTGTAGATTTCTCCAACACGGAGCAAACTCAAACAGAAACAGACATCAGTTTCACTTTAGTTCAGCAGGCAAGACGTACAGCAGAGGAGAGAAGCCATTTCATCTTCAACAGACAGACTCAGAGCTCAACATAGCTTCAGAGCTGTAGAGCTTAATATAGAGTCACGCCTAGGCTCCTTCCAGTTTCAGTTTCCAAACAGTCCTCATTGGCTGACTTCGTTGCTATGCCTATTCATTGGCTGACGTTGTTACCAAGCTCTGTTCTGGTTCATGGATATACTCTGACACTTTCTGATGAGCAAAATCCAGGGGGAAGCCAGATTCACTTAACAACCGCGTGACTAACTTAACAACTGCCATGATTCGCTTAACAAACGTGGCAAGAAAGGATGTAAAATAAGGCAAAACTCTTAACAAGCTCAACTTGCTAAGCAACAGAAGTGTTGGGTCGATCACCTGACTCTGGGATACTGCAACCGTCATAAATGTGAGTCAGTGGCCAAGTATCTCAATTTTGATAATGAGGACATAAGGATGCTGCAACTGACCCTCTTATCAGTTCTGGAGAACCAGTAGCGGAAACTTTGAGTAGCTCAGAGAACCGCCAAATCCCACCTCTGACTGGCCCTGCCCCCATCTATTCTCTGCCTCCTATTGAGTCCCAGCTGATCGGCTGGGTCTCCTTTGGTTGCCCTGCACAGGAGAACAGAGCTGGAAAGCAGGTTAGTGGGGTGGGGGAGGGAATGGGGATTTTGCAGTATCCTTCCCCTGCCACGCCCACCAAGCCACAACCACCAAACCAGTAGTAAAAAAAATTGAATCCCACCCACTGCTCACATCCCAGCATCCAAACTTACGTTGGGTGTGATGCGCTGCAGTTCTCCCAGAGTGACTTTATTGTACATGGAGTTGATATCTCTCCGCAGGTCATCGTACTCGGAGATTGTAATCTGTCAAATGGGGGGAAAGTTAGAATTGGACCAGATCTCCTCTCTCAGCCGGGTCCCATCATCCCCTAACCACCTGGGGGAGGCAGAGGTGGTGAGGCTCTTGTTCTGGTTCCTTCATGGGTCAGAAACTCCCCAGCCCCCCCACCCCCACCCCCCTCCATGGCACCGAAATGAATATGTTCCTCCCAACTGGTAAAATTTCTAGGAAAACGTACCTGGGCATCGAACCCAGTCATTTTCAACGATATAAAAAACAGATGTTGAGACTCTAGAACAGGGGTCTCCAACCTTGGCAACTTTAAGACTTGTGGACTTCAACTCCCAGAATTCCTCAGCCAGCAAAGCAACTTTAAGACTGGTGGACTTCAACTCCCAGAATTCCTCAGCCAGCAAAGCAACTTTGAGACTCGTGGACTTCAACTCCCGGCTTTGCTGGCTGAGGAATTCTGGGAGTTGAAGTCCACAAGTCTTAAAGTTGCCAAGGTTGGAGACCCCAGCTCTAGAAAGAGTGCAGAGAAGAGCCACAAAGAGGATTTAGGGGACCGGAGGCTAAAACATACGAAGAATGGTTGCAGAAACTGGGTATGTCTTGTCTGATGAGAAGAAGGACCAGGGGAGACATGACCGCAGTCTTCCAATATCTCAGGGGCTGCCCCAAAGAAGAGGGAGTCAAGCTATTCTCCAAAGCACCTGAGCTACAGGGACAAGAAGCAACGGGTGGAAACTCATCAAGGAGAGAAGCAACTTAGAACTAAGGAGAAATTTCCTGACAGTTAGAACAATTAGCTTGCCTCCAGAAGCTCTGGATCAGCTTGCCTCCAGAAGCTGTGAATGCTCCAACACTGGTGGTTTTGAAGAAGAGATGGGATAACCATTTGACAGATATGATACCTAGGGTGTCCTGACTGAGCAGGGGGTTAGACTAGAAGGCCTCCAAGGTCCCTTGGAAGAGCTTAGCAGAGCTTAATCTGTGATGGTTAGAAAGCCAGCTTGCTAGGTTGGCGGATGGCTGCAGGGGAGGTGCAAGCCCTGGACATGGGTTTGTCTGGTAACCAGGTTAAACACGTGGCGTAGACGCTGCCAGAGTGTGAGCAGACGAACGAAGGATATTGGTACCATCTCTCAGATATTTTTAGTTCCCCCCCCCCCCCGGCTCCCTTTGAACCCAAAGCACTACCTGGCTGTACCAAAGGGCTATTTTGGAAGAGGAGCCGGCCGATGAAGGCAGCCCCCGCCCCTCTGTGTCCCTTTTCTCGGGGCCAGCGTGGGGTCAGGGAGCGAGAAGGCCAAGATGGCGCACTCACATTGGCCAGCCTCTGCTCCAGCTGAAGAATCTCCTTGGCTTTCTGTTCCACGTTTTCGGCACCCAGCAGGTTCAACAGGCGCTCCATGAATACGCCATACGCGGCCAAGATCTGGAAAAGACAAGATTTTGGAAGTCCAGGAGATCTGGTCTGCAAATCAGGTCCCCAAAAGAGCAGGTGGTCAAGCTATTAGTGCAGTGGGAAGGCCTTTCTCAAGTCGATCAAGGATAGAAAACGTATTTTCTTTGCTGATGGATTCTCATGTTCTCAGAGGATCCATCTCTGCTCAGGCCCTGTTTGGATCCCTGTTTCTGAGGCTTCCCGGGTACCTGTTCCCTTGATGATCTGTCGTGTAAAAGCACTCAATTTCCCACAATGCACAGGAGCGTCATTCCCAGGCATTGTGGGAAATGGACACGGCTGCTTCTAAAGGATGCTTAATCCTGCTTGGACTCCGGTTTCTGAGATTTTCCAAGGCACACATCTGCTCCCTCGAGGATCTGTCTTGCAGAAGCTCTGAATTTCCCACAATGCATCAGGGCACAGTGACGTAGCACCCCAGGCATTGTGGGAAATGAACATGGCTGCTTCGAAAGGATGCTCGGCCCGGCTCAAGCCCAGCTTGGCACCCATTTCTCAGCCTTCCCAGGCACTCGCCTACCCCCCCCCCCGCCGATGATTGGCTCATCTGTTCTGCAAAAAAATCTAAATTTCCCCCAATGCATCAGAGTACTGTAGTGTCACTCCCGGGCATTGTGGGAAATAGACACGGCTGCTGTTAAAGGAAGCTCAGCTTTGCAAGGGTGGCTTGGCATTGCCCCCTCACCCCCCAAATTTTGGAGGGAGATGGGCAGCATAAAAACAATCAGGAAGCCGGGAGTTCGATCCAAGATAGAGGCAGATATTTCTCTCTGGGCACAATGAGAATATATCTGCAGAACAAAACTCCGCATTGGCAACAGGGTAGCGCATCCGGCCAGTAAACACCCTGCTGCATTCAGTTGCCCAGGCTTCACCCTGCAAGGGATTATGGGATCATAAAAAGGAAGTGATGATGATGATGAAAAAATGAATAAATAATAAATGAATAAATTTGTTTGCAAAGCCATCTCCTCTTCAAAGAGGGGCCTGATATACTGTATATCTGTTGTGATTAGCCAGCAGCAGGTGCGGACGGCTGAGGAGAGCGAGGACTCAGATGAGGGGCCAGGACCATTAGGGAGTGGACTGCTGCCTTTGGAGATTGTGGGGGCTGGCAGCAGCGATGAGGAGGTTCCCGAGGAGCCTGTGCCAAGTGCACGTGCACGCAGGATTGCTCGGAGGAAAGAGCAGTTACAACAGCACAGGCGACTCGGGAGTAAGGCTGCAAGGTAATGGCCCCTCCTTCAAGAAGATAAAAGCCAGCTGTGAATCGGACGTTCTTTGCAGGAATCAAAAACGTTTTGAAACTTAGCCTCGTGGACGTTACAGTATCTTAGTTGGTATTTGAAGACTCTTGTGTTGTGAAATATTTCTCATCTGTGATTCTTGGCAGCCTCGCACAGTTTTGGCCAGGCTCGTGCTTATCAAAGTTAATTGGTTTGCAGCAGCCTTTTAACCAGGGATTTGTAAGACTCATTAAAAGGTTTCTGTTCCCTTTGGTTACTGTTTGTCTTATGGGAAAAGGGTTTGAGTCAGAACATTATTTGTTGTTTTTTTTTCATTACCTTTTCGCTTTCATCATCCTGGCCCAGGTAGAGCGTTCTCTCGGACAAGGTTAGCCCATCCTGGTCAATCTGTTGGGGGAAGAAAAAACATACACCAGGTATTTAGTCTGAGTAGAATAAAAACTTGCTGGTGATCCACCAACAACTCTTTCTTGGCTGGGTCCACACAATAAGCTCAGCTGCCAAGAAGTGATTACGTTAAACGAATCAAATTTAGAATCCTAGATTTGGAGTCATAGAGTATTGGAACCCTGGAGGTCTTCTAGTCCACCCCCATGCTCGACCAGCAGAGCCATTCTGGACAAACGGTTGCCCAGTCTCTTCTTAAAAACCTCCAGTGATGGAGCAACCGATTTCTTAAGGCAAGTTGTTTCACTGCTTAATTGTTCTCGTAGTCAGGAAATTTCTCCTGAATTGAAGGTTTGCTTCTCTCCTGGATTATTTTCCATCCGTTGTTTTTTGTCTTTGCCTTCAGGAGCTTTGGAGAATAATTTGACCCCTTCCTCCTCTCTGTGGCAGCCCCTCAAATACTGGAAGATGCTCTCCTGTCTCCCCTGGTCCTTCTCTTCCCTAGACTAGCCAGGCCCAGTTCCTGCAACCGTTCTTCGTATGTTTTAGCCTCCAGTTCCCTAATCCTCTTTGTTGTTCTACTCTGCACTCTTTCTAGAATCTCAACATTTTTTATATATATATCATGGCGACCAAAACTGGATGTAATATTCCAAGTGCTGTCTTGCCAAGGCCTTATAAAGTAGTATAACATTTTACATGAAAATATTTACAGGCCCCTCACGTCCCGGACATAAACTGTTTCAACTCCTCCCCTCAAAATGACACTATAGAGCACTGCACACCAGAACAACTAGACACAAGGGGAGTTTTTTCCCTGAACGCCATCGCTCTGCTAAACAACTAATTCCCTCAACACTGTCCAACTATTTACAAAGTCTGCATTACTATTACTATTCATCTCATCACTCCTTATCGCCCATCCTTTCCAGTGGTGGGATTCAAATTTTTTTACTACCCGTTCTGTGGCTGTGGCTTGGTGGGTGTGGCTTGGTGGGCGTGGCAGGGGAAGGATACTGCAAAATCCCCATTCCCTCCCCACCCCACTAACCTGCTTTCCAGCTCTGTTCTCCTGTGAAGGGCAACCAAAGGAGACCCAGCTGATCAGCTGGGACTCAATGGAAGGCAGAGAAGAGAAGGGGGCAGGACCAGTCAGAGGTGGGATTTGCCGGTTCTCCAAACTACTCAAAATTTCCGCTACCGGTTCTCCAGAACTAGTCAGAACCTGCTTAAATGCCACCTCTGATCCCCTTTCACTTGTAACTGTATGACTGTAACTTTATTGCTTGTATCCTTACGATTATACTGACTGTTTCCTTATATGATTTGATTGCTTATTTGTACTCTATGACTATCATTAAATGTTGTACCTGATGATTCTTGATGAATGTATCTTTTCTTTTTATGTACACTGAAGGCACATGCATCCAGACAAATTCCTCTTGTGTCTAATCACCCTTGGCCAATAAAGAATTCATTCATTCATTCGTCATTCATTCATTCATTTGCAGAGACGTCATTCGCTGCTGACTCCAGATGCCCATAAGGTCAACAGGAGCTGGACGGAAGGAAAGTTTCACTTTTTTAAGCCTTTCAAGATATTTTCCATAAATACACGCAACGCCCAAATGACACCGCATGGAAGGAAAGAGAAAAGTGATTCGAAATATTTGAAGCTCATCTTTTCATCCGAGCCCTGTTGTCCTCCCCATGGCCTCGTGCGCATAAATATTTTATCCAGATTAAAATCACACCCACCCACCCCACGCACACCACGTATTGGTGCATTTCAATAGCTTCCCAAGGGATTGGGCTTGTGTCTTTTAAATTGCCTTTCTGTGATTTGCAGCCCGTGTCTTTCCCCAGCCGTCAACCTCATTTGGAATATTGTTTATGATTTTGGCAAATTTGATGGGCTTTCCTCCATCTTTAAATCCGTGTCGCTATTAAAGAGGCAGCAAAGATTCAGATCGGGGCGGCAGGGGATCTTTGTGGCCTCCCTTAGATTTCCACAGGACACAGATCCACGTCCAAGTGGCCTCAAGAACTCTCTAAAAAGGGTGCAAATGACCAGCTATCTGTAAGGAGTATATAAATCCTTCCATTCCCTACCATTCAGAGCTGAAGAAGCTTCTTGGATGAAAAGTGAAATGTCTTCAAAGAAAAACAAGACAGTCCAGTTGCCTCTTGAAAAAAAAAAAAGTACCTTTGGGACTTAAAGGGGAAATTTGTTTATTACTACCAAGTAGAACTTTGAATTCTGTACCCCAGAGTTCCCTATATCACATCCCTCTACTCCACAGAGCCTGAAATATTTTGCGTTCTTTTTTTTTCCACGCGTTTTACCTACATAAATCTCTATGTTTTTTTTTCTTTTCAGACAAAGCAATTCTCTTACCTAGCAGCTGACCAACTCAGGTGAGTATCAGATAGGTAAGAAATTATCTAAGACAGGGGTTAGGATTATTATTGCATTGATTCAAGAAGAGACTGGACTGCTATCTTTTTTTAAATTTGTCAATCGCTTACAAGATAATAAGTATAAGCATAAACATAGTTATGAATACATGAAATGGGTACGTATAAGAAAAATAAAAAAGAAACAATAGGACAGGGACGGTAGGCACATTGGTGCGCTTATGCTCGGCCCCTACAGACCTCTTAGGAAAGGGGTGAGGTCAATAGTAGACAGTCTAAGGTTAAAGTTTTGGGGGTTTGGGGAAGAAACCACAGAGTCAGGTAGAGGATTCCAGACATTGACCACTCTGTTGCTGAAGTCGTATTTCCTGCAATCAAGTTTGGTGCGGTTAACCTTGAGTTTGTATCTATTGTGTGCTCTTGCGTTGTTATGGCTGAAGGTGAAGTATTCATTGACAGGTAGGACATTGCAATGTATGATTTTATACAGAAACGGTGTAGGGTCACCCGCTTGGGTGGGGTGGAGGGTTGGACTAGATGACCTATAAGGTCCCTTCCAACTCTTGTTATTCTGATTTTATACCCTGCCCTTTGGACTATTCCAAAACTCCAACTACAGCAATAAAAACAGAGGTGAAATCGCAATGTAATTCATACTACCGTATTAGAAGAAAAGAAAACTTGAAACTCAGTCGCTACCGTAAATGGAAGAATTGGAAAGGAAATGGATCAATTTTGTAAAGAGCGATGGAAACAGCTCACAATGAGCTGCTAATTGGTCAAGCTTCCATCCTTCCAGCACCAGGCAATACAATAAGCTTTGTGCTGCACAGAGATATTTAGTGCAGAGCATACATAAAATCCTGCTAAATAATATCTCGACGGAAGAGATGCCATAAAGCGCAAGAAAGCCGAAATCTGGGTTTCTCAACCTCAGCTTTAAAAGATATGGACTTCAACTCCCAGAATTCCCTGGCCAGTTTGACGTTGATATTTCTCTTCAACTAATGCTGTGCTTCTCAAATATGGCAATTTGAAGGTGTATGGACTTCAACTCCCAGAATTCCCCAGACAGTGTGTGGTTGATAGATATTTCTCTTCAGCTAATGCTGTATTTCTCAGACTTGAAGGTGTGTGGACTTCAATTCCCAGAATTCCCTGGCCAGTGTGAGGTTGATATTTCTGTTCAATTAATGCTGTGTTTCTCTTCAATTCCCATAACTGCGGACTTCAATTCCCAGAAGGGGTGTGGACTTCATCTCCCAGAATTCCCCAGGCAGTGTGAGGTTGATAGATATTTCTCTTCAGCTAATGCTGTATTTCTCAGACTTGAAGGTGTGTGGACTTCCCTTCCCAGAATTCCCTGGCCAGTGTGAGGTTGATATTTCTGTTCAACTAATGTTGTATTTCTCAAATTTGGTAACTTGAAGGTGTATGGACTTCAATTCCCATAACTGTGGACTTCCATTCCCAGAATTCCCCAGCCAGTGTGTGGTTGATATTTCTGTTCAACTAATGCTGTGTTTCTCTTCAATTCCCAGAACTGTGGACTTCCATTCCCAGAAGGGGTGTGGACTTCATCTCCCAGAATTCCCCAGCCAGTGTGAGGTTGATAGATATTTCTCTTCAACTAATGTTGGGGAATTCTGGGAGTTGAAGTCCACACATTTTCAGGCTGCCAAAGTTGAGAAACACTGGTTTAATAATGTATTGTGTGAAACCCAGAAAACAGGTCGATTTAGTGATCGTTTCAAAAGCACACTCTGAACCCAGTCAATACAGGTAATTCTTGCTTAACCGCCAGCCCTGTTTTACAGCTGTTCAAAGTTATGACAGCCATGGAATGGATGTTGTACAGCTTGCATTGCACCCCTGGCTATCCTAAATGGTTGAGCCGACACCCCCACCCATCATGGCTTGTGAAGTGGGGCAGTTTTATGAGCAACTTTGGTGTCCTGGGGTCACAACAGCCATGATTTGCGATGGTTTGTAGCATGAATGAATGGGTTCGCTTAAGGACTGCAGTGTTCTCTTATTGACCATCCTGAAAAGAGATGGAAAATTACTCCCAGTCATATAGGAGTCTTGACTTACGACTGTAATTCTGAGCTCAATTACGGTTGTAACTTACAACCATTCGTTTAGGGTCCCTGGGAAATTACGACGGTATTAAAAATATATGACTTGGGACCGTTTTTCACACTTATGACCGTTGAAGCATCCCCGTGATCAAAATTCGGACGCTTGGCAACAGGTTCGTATTTATGATGGTGGCAGTTTCCCGGGGTTACGTGATCCCTTTTTGTAGCCTTCTGACAAGCAAAGTCGATGGAGACCCACTTAACAACTGTGTTACTGAAGTGATTCACTTAACAACTGCAGCAAGAAAGCTCATAAAACAGGGCCAAGCGTCACTTAACTCTTGTTAGCCAGGAAAATTTGGGGCTCAATTTGGTCCTAAGGTCAAGGACTAGATATAATTCCACGCTCAATTACGGTTGTAAGTCAAGGACTACCGGTAAGCAGTCTCACTTCCCAGCTGCAGATCAACCGAATGACGCAAAATGAGTCCTGCTGTAGAC